TTTTTTTTTTTTTCCTAAAGCACGGAAAGATATGGCGTAGAAGGTAGCAGTCGAAGACACTTACCCAGGGCCAGAGAAGGGAACAGTGTTAGGTCTGGAGTCCTTTGCTCCCAGCCCCATGCTCGGACTCAGCAGCAGACGGTGGTTGCCCTAGCTATTGAAAAGTGCCGCCTTCGTGACACCTTCCAGGCACTCAGTCTTTGCCTTCTCTCCCATCAGACATAGCTCACAGGCGCCTGCAGCTGGGCAGGGACTTCCAGGCGGACCCGACCTCCATTTCCCTGTCAGAGGTGGAGGGCCAGTCCCCGACAACTGTACGCTACCGGAACAACAACCAGCGCCGCTTCTCCATGGAGGCAAGTACAGGTTGGGGCTGGAGCTGGGGCCAGGCAGTGTATGGAGGTGGGGTGGCTGGCATGGGCAGGGGGTGCACGGAAGGGTGACTTTGCTGTTCTCAGGGTGGGGGTAGCCACGTGGCATGCGGTGGGCAAGCTTCCCAGGTTCAGGGCGCAGGCCGGAGGTTCTTGGCTGGGAAGCTTACTCTGTGCCGGCCCGGCTTGCAGGACGTCAGCAAGCGGCTCTCCCTCCCCGTGGACATCCGCCTGCCCCCGGAGTTCATGCAGAAGCTGCAGATGCACAGCCCCGAGTTCCCCAAGCCCCTCAGCAGGATGTCTCGGCGGGCATCCCTGGTGAGTCCCACCACACTGGGGATCTGGGCAGGGGAGGGTCGTGCCCGGCTCATCACACCTCGGAGCCCAGGCCCTGCATGTGGCCATGCCCACCCGTGTCCACACACTCTGGGGTCCTTGCTCACACATTGCCCCTACACCTATACCTCTGTGCACCCGTCGGAGTGCCCTCAGCTGCACAAAGTCCACACCAAGGCATGTGAATCCTTATCTTCCTGTACCCACAAGCCTACACTCACACATATAAATGCTCATCCTGCTTGGGCCTGCACTCCCGGAGGGGTGCACTCCACACGTGTGAACATGCTCAGCCCTGGCATGCAAATCCCTCATGCATGCAGCAACACAGCATGTACAAGAGCGAGAGCCCAGGGCCTTCTTTGCAGATAGGCAAGGCTGCGTCCCGTCGAGTAGGAGCTTTCTCGGCCGGGAAGGAGGCAGTTGGCCGACAGCCAGTAACTCACATTCACCTGCACGGGCTTTTCTGCCTGGTGAATAAAATATGCATAGAGGAGGCAAATGTTCCATTAATATTCATACCCCTGTAAATGAATAATGAATGTTCCTGTAGAAGGCGCCGTACGGCGTCGTGAAGTTTATAGGGCCTCCGATCACATTCAGCCTGCGTTACCCACTGTTATTATCCCTGCCAGCTGAGCGAGACAAGCTAGCAACACATCCATTCAAGGCGGGTGGGTTTGTTCAGGCATAGGTGCTGACTTATTTTTGCCAGGGGGGTGAGCCTAAGATGATGGACATGAGGAAAGTTTTAAGTATTTCGGGTGACAGCGCTCTTCCCAAGTGGGGGGCGGGGAGGCACGTACTCAGCACCTCTGTGTTCAGGGCACTGGAAGTAGAGCTGACGGCACCATTTACTGCCCCGGTCATCAGGTCCAATGTCAGCAGCCAAGCTGCCCCCCCTCCACATTTGGCGGCTGGAGGGAAATGCAGGCGTGCATCACAGCCCAGGTCCGGACAGCCCAGCTCCATGTCGTTCAAACACTCTGGCACTGAATGGGGTGATAATGGGGGCCTCTGACCACATGGGCCGTGGAGGCAGGACTGTGCTCTGGAGATGCTTCTCCAGGGCAGGGCAGAGCAGGGCAAGGGACGGATTCCTCTGGCGGGGAACAGAGTGGGGGCTAGCCACCCTCATCACAATCCTCGGGGATTATCAATGACACCAGCCACCAGCGACACACATGCATCACTTCCCAGGCAGCTCCCACGGGTCTTTATTCCGAGTGAAATAGGAAATAATATTCTCCCCTGGTCCCAAGGCAGGCCTCCACCTCCGCACACGCTGCTGGCTGCGTGACGGCTGCCCCTCCAGCACCACCTGCCGAGGGGAGACATATACAGCACAAAGCAGAGCTCCTCCATACCCTCTGTTGTGTCAGGGCTGCTCAGACGTGGTAGCCCCATGTTTCTCAACCAGGGTGCGGTGGGAAACAAAGCCATGGGGCAATTCGACGACTTAGACAAAGAGGGTTGCAGGGGAGCTCAGGTGGTCACGTCTAGTCCGACCCCTTGCTCAAAGCAGGACCAGCCCCAACTGCATCCTCCCAGACTTGCTGCCAAGTCCCAGGGAATTAAGCCCTGATCTCCTGGGTCCTAATTCAGCCCTTTGACCCCAAGGCTGTGCTGCCTATGGCTGAGTAAACAAGAGTGTGAGTCTCCATGATCCTGGGAAGAGCAACCGTCCAAGTGGTCATGGAGGGAACGGCTTCTGGTAACAGCCAGTGTGTAGGGAGCGATTTTTTTTCCATGCACATTAAATGTCTCTGCTGGAAGGGGCCTCAAAATCCAGCCAGCCTTGAATGCAGACGTGGCTGCTCAGATGCCAAGATGATGGGTGAGGCAGGGACAGGCAGAGAGAATGAGGAAGGCATGGCGGGAGCCAGAGCACTGGGAGGCAATATATCGAGCCGCATCCACACTGCAGCAAACAAGGCTCCCTGCGATGATGAAGTTAACAGCTTGCGTCATTGTTCCATGGATGGGGGAAGCAGGTATCATCTGTTTTCCTTAAGCACCCAGTCAATGGTGCTTCTTTCTGATTGATTGGCTGCCTAGATGGCTGCACTTCTCCAGCAGACAGTGATGTACATGGCATATCTAGCGCTCCCGGCCCCAGCTTGCAAACACCTGACTTGATTGATCTCCCCCGAAGCTGCTATTGTCTGGCCTCCTTGACGTGACCGTCAGCTGCGGGGTTGCATCTTTCCTAGGAGGATCTGTCCTGCTGACATTCTTCCCTTTTCTTTGCAGTCAGATATCGGATTCGGGAAGCTGGAAACCTACGTTAAATTGGACAAGCTGGGCGAGGTGAGCAGGGATCCTCTCGAGGGTTTAGCTGGAGTGGAGAGGAGAGACAAGCTGCAAAAGGCAGCCCAGAACCAGGCTTCCTCGAGGTCTGGGTGTGTTTGGATGCGGGGGTCTGGGTCGGGACCAGACGTTGCATCCTCCGAGCCCTCCTCCATGAGTCGCCCGCTGCTCCAATTGCTCCTCTGCGTGCCGGTTTTCCGCTTTGAGCTGGCAAAGTAAAGGCACGCACCAGCCTCCGGACACGAGTGCCCAGGCTCCATGTCTCTCTCTTTCCCACAGGGCACCTATGCCACTGTCTTTAAGGGGCGCAGCAAGCTGACAGAGAACCTGGTGGCTCTGAAAGAGATCCGTCTGGAGCATGAAGAAGGGGCCCCCTGCACAGCTATAAGGGAGGGTAAGGAGCAGGGGGCATTTTCTGAGTGGAAGGGCCTCGCAAGCCATGAAGAGTTATTGCTGAGCCAGAGTGAATGGGCAGCCTAGCTAGCCAGGACCTTCTTTCATTTGCCAGGCAATGATGCCCTTTCATGAGGGCATTGGAACAAGCCAGCCCAGCCTGCCCTCTGGCCACAAAGCGTGGCCCCGGGGCTTTCTAATGGCTCCTTGTTTTGCAGTCTCCCTCCTGAAGAACCTGAAGCACGCAAACATCGTGACCCTGCATGATATCATTCACACAGAGCGATCCCTCACCCTTGTCTTCGAGTACCTGGTGAGTGGGTGGGCTGTGCGCCCCGGGGTGGCATTTGGCGAGCTGAACTGTGCCCCTTCCTCCTATGACCCGGAGTGAGGGAGTTTGTGTCTCGCTGCAGCTGGGTGCAAGATAAATGGCAGGGAGGATTGCAATATTTTACCTGTTTGAAAGGTTTAAGCCAATTAGTGAAAAACACTAATTTTATCAGATATTTTCCTGATTTTTCATCATCTCTCATTATCTGCCCTGAGCTCCTGGAAAACACAGATCAGACCCATTCACCCACAGACCTCTGCACAGAGCCCATTGCAATGTCTGGAACATTAATGGAAAGGAGGAAGGCAGCCTTCTTCCAGCTCTGTGTCCCAGCTCATCACCCGCTCACGTGCTAGAGTCAGCCCCGACTAGGTGGGTTTGGTAGCAATACCAGCTGCCTTGGCAGACGTTGTGGCACGTGGCAGGCTCTGGGCTGCCTGGCTTCACCACCATAGCAGAGCTGCCTATAGGTCTTCAAACACCTAGATGCTTTCTCTGAGCTCGCATGTGCCTGGGGGGCCAAGGCCTTGCAGGCCTGTCCTCAGACCCCTGCTGTGGCTTGTACAAAGGTTAGGTTGGGGCAAAATTAGCCAGATCCTCTGGCCAGACATGCAGGAGGTCAGGCTAGATGATGATGGTAAAGCTCCCTCTGGGCACATTACAGTTGTTAGTGGGCTTTAACCCCCTGGGCTCCTACCAGCATCCTGCCCACCCCACCAAAGTCCCTTCTGGGGCCTAGAGCTAGCTTGGGGTCCATGTGAACACAGATGCGTACTCACGGCACACCCTTGTTGTTGCAGGACAGTGACCTCAAGCAGTACCTGGACAACTGTGGGAACCTGATGAGCACGCACAACGTGAAGGTGAGAGGAGAAGGAGAGTGTCCGAAGCTCCCAAGGGACTCTGTGTCCCGTGGCTGACTTGTTGAACACACGGGGAACTGAGCCAAGGAGGGACAAGGGGCATCACAGGCTTGGCTGTGCATGCTCATTGTCCAGCTTTTCCCTTTCGTGTGCATCCCCTTGCATTTCTCACGTGTGAGTCTGATCTCCCATGGCAGCACCTGGCCGGAGCCCTCTGAAGCTCCCTGCTGTTTTTCTGAGGTCTTAACATCCTCAGACAATTTCGTGTCCTTTGCACACTGTGTTCAGACCCACTTCCGAATCCCTGACAAGCAGAAGAAGCATCTGTCTGTCGTGCCTCTCATCCATATCGTCCTGGACAGCTTTGTTTCCCTCGCGGCGTCTTGCTGATCATGTTTAGAGAGTCGCACCAGAGACTCTGCCCCTGCTCTCAATGCAGTATCGAGCATGGCATTTAGCTGGAGGCAGCTGAGGACACTGATTTCAGAGCTAGATTTAATTGCATAAGCAAAAGACAGAGCGAAGAGAGACTCATAGACCCGGATTCGCATTGCTACTAAGGCCCCTTTACACTCCTCCCCCTGGCAGCAAAAGGCTTTTTAAGTTAGATGTTAACATAATTTACAAGTGCATGACTTACACTGTGAAGGGCCCTTTGTGCTGCTCACGTAAAGGGGCCGGGCAGTCGGTGAGAATCTGGCTCTTGCCCTCCAAGCTGGAGCTACCTTGGCTCTGATCCCCCTCGGTCCATCACTGAAGCCTATGTGTGTTGTGAAATGAGTCCAGAGCTGCAAGCTGCAGGGTTTCATCCCAACCCTAGAGAAAGTCTTTCCTCCAGAGGGGCCCTGAAGCTGCTTGCAGGTGCTGCCTTGTGCTGCTGTCTGCTGAACCGAATGCCAGACCCCCCCTGCCCTGCCGCGCTGACCGTGCCTCTCCTCCCTCTTCCCCCCTCCCCAAGATCTTCATGTTCCAGCTGCTGCGGGGTCTGTCGTACTGCCACCGGAGGAAGATCCTGCATCGCGACCTCAAACCGCAGAACTTGCTCATCAACGAGAGGGGGGAGCTGAAGCTGGCAGACTTCGGTGAGCAGGGTCGTGGCTTGGCGTGGGCTCAGCGTGTGCAGACAGCACTGCATGCACGCTGCTTGGAGGGGCACAGGAGACCCGAACTCTGGTCCATCCCAGTCCACTCAGACTGCGCCGGGGGCGGGTCAGTGCACCGCGAGCTGATTGAAGGACTTAAATGCAGCAGCCAGGTTTCCAGACCTGCTGCTCCAAATTCAGCTACTGCCTGTAGATGCGTAAGGGGAGGGGAGCTCCTCTGCCCACTTGTTTCCGTCTGGGGCTGCTGGTGAGAATTGCACTGCAGTGCAGGAGAAGACGCAGAGACGTCCCTTGCACCCCCAGGTCTCGCCAGAGCCAAGTCGGTCCCTACCAAGACGTATTCCAATGAGGTGGTCACGCTGTGGTATCGGCCTCCAGACGTCCTGCTGGGCTCGACCGAGTACTCCACGCCCATCGATATGTGGTGAGCTGTGGGGGCTGGCAGGGCTGGGCACGAGCACTGGACCCCATTCCTGGATTCCCACCTCGCCGGTGCAGGGGATGTCCACCGCCTTTCATCTCTCCATGCAGCGCCACGCAGTCTGGGCTGCTGTATGTAGCAGTGCCAGCACAGGGATGCTGCCCGCCCTGGTTTATGCGCCACACACTAGGTCTCCCGGGTCATAAGCTGTTTGGAGCAGGCTCCTTGCTTGTGCGTCAGGGCCTTTTTGAGCAGGTGATAAGCAGTAGCAGCAATGTCCCGAAGAACAGGCAGGAGCTCCCTCGGGTGGCTGCGACTGTAAGGGACCGACCTGCATTGCACAAGGGCAGGGGGGTGTGCTCGGAGGTCGTTTCCATCTCTAACATCAATGCCTCTGCTGCTCGCTTAGGGGCGTGGGCTGCATCCACTATGAAATGGTCACAGGACGGCCCATGTTCCCTGGGTCCACCGTGAAAGAAGAGCTGCATTTAATCTTCCGGCTGCTGGGTGAGTCTGCTCTCCAACTTCCGCTAGAGGGCAATGGCTGACCGAGGAAAATGGAGAGAGGGCGAGGGCCTTGGCACACCTTCCCCGATGTCGACCAGCTTAGCGCTAGCTTGGAGTCCGGAGCAGTCACGCTTTCAACTCGAGCCGCACATCCGCGAGGAGCGGCCACGTCACAGAGCAGGAGCTGGGTAGTGCGGGCCAGAGATAAGCCTGTCCTGGAGCGGCATAACTTTGATCCACATAGCGAGTGCCTTAAGCCACTTTAAGGTGTTAACGCACAGACAGCCCAGGGGTTAAGAGCTCCAGGAGCTGCCCAATATTATCATGTAACAAGGCCCTGAGAAACAGCCTTAGCCGAAAGTTTAGACTGGCTTGCCCGTCCCGTGCCCTCGGGCCTGTGGGAGTGGAGAGAGAACCAGATCCTTCCTCGAGGGTTTTCTGGCCTTCCAGTAGCTTTGGGGAGTAGGGGGAGGATTTGCCGGTCTCTTCCAAGGGACGGCTCGCACGGAGAGCATTTCCACATGGGGCTCCTCCATGCTAGGGTAATGGAGGGCAATGGCTGGCAGGTCCCCATGGTGTGATGAAGTTGATGTGTCCAAACCATCCTCTCTCCCCCAGGGACCCCTACAGAAGACTCCTGGCCTGGAATCACATCCAACGAGGAGTTCAAGGCTTACAGTTTCACCCAGTACCGTGCCCAGCCACTGATCAACCATGCCCCGAGGTACTGAGACTCCCACGCATGCCGGCACGTGCTGGCCAGCAGCGGGGACGCTGCGGGGACGAGGCTGGGAGGTTTCGTCCCAGGCTCACTCTGACACTAGGGAGCAGGGAGGACAGACAGCCATGGAAATGGAGGGCCGGTGGTTGACCCCCGGCGGCAGCACAGTCGGGGTCAGGTCAGGCCTCCTTTTCTATGCTGCAGTATATAGATTCATAGATTGTAAGGGCCGTGGAAAGGACCTCGCAAGATCATCGGGTCCAGCCCCCCGGCACTAGGCAGGAAAGACAACTGGGGTCAGGTGACACGGAAGCCATGAATTTCGGCTAACATGCGTAAGGCCTGCCTGGAAGGACTCTTCCGGACACAGCCCGAAAGCAAGAGCAGGCTCCAGGGTTTATCTAGGGCTTATCCAGCCCTGCTCATTTCAGAAATTTATGGGTTCTGCTGCTTTGAAAGGCATGTGCCAACCCACCATGCCCCCATTGCACCCCGGTAGAGCCTGGCTGTGCCCACGGTAGAGACTTTTGGATGCAGTAACAGCCTCCTTCTCTTTAAGGCTGGACACAGACGGGATCGATCTGCTGACGAACCTTCTCTTGGTAAGTAGCCTGGCCGCCCAACCCACGAGCAGCGGGGTTAGACACTGGCAGCTCCAGGCTTCTCATCTCCCCTTCTGGCTTCCCATTAGCTTTACCTGCAGTTCGCTGTCCTCCTCACCTGGGTTTTGAGCGAGATGCATAGCCAGCTGCAGCTGGAAATCCCTCACCCCCGAGCCTGCAGACATGCCCCAGAGAGACAGAGCTTGGGGTCAAGGCTGTTAATGAAAGGAAAGGCAGCAGAGAGGGGCCTGGGGTCAGCGGAGCCAGCCAGGCAGCGGGTATTGCCACTGGTCCAGCCAGCTGGCATGCCGATGTTGTAGGGCCTAATCATGCTGCTGTTGGAGGCAACTGCAAAACGTCCCGGGAGACCGGGTGTTAGTGCCGGGAAGGACTGTAGACACCTCCTCCTCTTGGGTCGTATCGGTGTCCTAAGCCCCTGTCCCAACTTCAGGTGGAGGCATCTTTCCTCTTGCTGGCTCCCGGAGACGTGCTGCTGTCTGCTTGTGCCTGCCCTCCCATAAAAGTGCTTTGAGGTCCCGAACTCTGAATCAGCCTCTCATCACCAGTGTCTCGTTGCTCATCTTTTCTCTGCTGCCAAGTTCCTTGTTCCGCTTCCCTAGATTTACTCAGCAGCACAGTCCTGCCTTTCAGCCGCCACTTGTCTTAATCCACGCAGCCTGGCACGGCGACGCACAACCTGGCATTCCCACAGCGGCAGCTCCGACTCCCCGGAGCCATGATAGGGGTGCCCCATGGAGGAGCTGTGATTGAAATTGGAGTGGGGTTGGGGTTGGTCTCCCTCTTCCCTTCACCCTGCTCTCCCCATGCGCGCACACACAGAGGATATAATGACACAGCCCATGAAACCACTGCACACCTAAAGATTATGCAACCACCCACCGGAGGTGTTGACACAAACAGCATATGGAACGGCAAGCACAGGCATATGCGATGGTTCCTCTGCGTGCACACGCGTGCCCACCCACACAGCATATGTCATTACTTGCTTACCTGCCTCCCCCACCATAGAAGCTGTCACTGCTCAGGTGCCTGCACACACATGCACACACGCAGCCAGCCATATGTACTTGCTGGCACATACACACTCGGCGTACCTCACACACGTAATACGTAGCAACACAAACACGGTAATGAGACCGGCTTCACGTAATGCCGTGTACACAACACGAGTCGTGTCTTACACACCCAGCGCACATAACAGCAAGCTCCAAGTGCAATGACGTGCGCCGAGCCCACATAATCTCCTTTCTCTGTGGTCCGCGTAGTATGAAGCCAAGAGCCGGATCTCGGCTGAAGCAGCCTTACGACACCCTTACTTCAAGAGCCTGGGGGAACGTGTGCACCTCTTGCCTGACAGTAAGTGCCCATCCATGCTAATGGGATTTGCTTTGAAAGGTAAATACTGGGCTTTCAGGGAAAATGTCATCAGCGATTGATTTTTCCAGCTGGCAGAAACCAGGAGGCTGAAAGCTAGGATGTGCCAGCTTCCTGCAGTTTCTCATTTCAGGGGTTTTTAATTTTCCTATGGGAAAGCCACCATCCCTTTGTGGGAGGCTGCATGTGGCCCTTTTCCCTGGGGCAATGACCACGGCTTGCTGGGCCTTCGTGCATTGCCTAAGTTACCCCTTTCTCTTATGTATCAGCAAGTAGGACACAGAGGGTGCATCTACATGAGACACTAAAAGTGCAGTACACTAATTCTACTGTGCACTAGCATGTCACGGCACAAGCCGTGCTAATGCACTAAAGCACAGTCGAATTAGTCGGCTATACATTAGCATCAGGTAAAACACATGCACTGACACTACTGTGCTATAACACCGGTTATGGCGCCTTCCTAGTACCTGTTATTACAGGTACTAAACTTAATGCAGCACAATTACGGTGCATTAATGCACATGCAGACATGCCTGGAGTGAGGGTAAGGGCCTCCTACCCTCCTAAGGGCTGGGCTATTAAGCCCATGTCTCCTTCAAGATCCCCATTCTCTATATTTAGAGAAAGGGAACGAGTGCTCCTGAGGCTTGAGACTGGCATAATGAGGGGGCAGAAGCTGGCACGTGGGCACGGTGCGGTGGAGGATCTTGCCATTGCAGGGTGAGACATTCTGGGCATACGGGAGAGAGGCGTTGCTGCGAGGGCACAGGACTGCATGCATGTGTTGGCTACCTCTGGAAACAGCTTATCCGGCCACTGAGTTACTCTCAGCTGTTCCTCTCTCTCCCTTTGCCCAGATGCCTCCATCTTCACTCTGAAGGAAATACAGCTTCAAAAGGACCCAGGCTACCGAGGCTCAGTCTTTCAGCAGTCAGGTAGGACCTGTGACCCCTGGGCTGGGTCCTGAGGGGAGAGCAGCCCTCTCGATAGAAATGCAGTTGGTCCAGGTGCCAGAGCAGTCTGGAGCTGTGTGCAGCCTAATTCACCCTGCTGAGCAGGAAGGCAAATGAGCACAGCTCTGTGCTGCGGCCCCTCGGGGTGCCTGAGCCAGCTCCAGCATCTCCATGCAGCCGAGCCGGGGCTCGGAGGCTGCCGGGAGCAGCCCTCTTGCCCCAGCTGCGCCCAGGTAGCACTGCCTGCACTCAGCCGACGTGTCGCTCTGCAGTGATGACCCTGGGCCGTGCCCAGGTGCAGTGCCCGGGGCGACAGGCGTCACGGCAGGTTTCCCACGCGGGGCAGGGAATGCCACGTTGCTGTCGCCTTTCCCACAAAGTGGCCATTCAGGGCCTATTGCTTATCTTGTCGGGAGGATCTGAGGGGAAAGTCCAGTTGAAGTCTGAGCTGGATTAGCAGGAAAGGCTTCGCATCAACCTCTCCCCCCACTTTGACCGCAGGTGGGTGAAGCATCCCGAGAGGCCCCTCGCTCAGCTGGTTAGACATTAATATTGCAAGGGACAGAGCAGGCGTTGTTCCCATGCACCGACCAGAGCAAAGGGCTGGGCATCGGGGCTCATGAGACTGCTTCCCAGCCCCATCACGGACCCACTCTGTGACTTCTGCAGCAAGTGACTCCCCCACTTTGCGCCTCTGGGCACATCTGTGCTGCTGTCCCGGGACTCCTGCGGGCACTGGCTGTTCTCACCTCTTGTGCAGGGCACCCAGGAATGAGGCAGGGAAGCCGCTCACTGAGTGATGCCACTCTCAAGCATGCGGGGTTGGAGGACTCGCAAGCAGTTGGAGCTGCACTGGATTCATAGGTCCCTGCACCCAAAATGGCCCCGAGAGGGAGATGCCTCCCCTTGCTGCGGTAGGGTGGGCTGATGAGCCTAAAGCACTTGGGTGCTAGCCTTTCCGACCTGGCGCTTTCTCTCTCTCTCTCCCAGGTCGAGGGAAGAACAGGAGGCAGAGTATATTTTAAACCTGTCTCCTTCCCTTCGTCACCGTGGAGATCAAAGCACTGAGAAAGGAGAGGACCACATGCTCCCACCAGACTCATCCACAGAGCGTTTCAATCTAGCAGGAAGAGACTGGAGGGCACTCTTCTGCCACAGGCTGCCCTCCAGCTGGCCTCACAATCCCACCGCTGCCACCAGTCAGCCCACCGGTGTCTCTTGTCAAAGGAGCTGTAGCGCCTGCTCCTCTCCCCCTCGCTTTTCACACGGTGCCACCACAGCTGGGGCCCCGCCTGCCGTACCAGGGTAAGGTGCTTTACTGAGTGACTGGCTGCCCTGGGCATAGCCCCATGTGCCCCCCACGTGCACCTGCTGGCGTGGTAAGTGGGCACGCATGGAGGCTCTGCCGGCGGGAGACAGGGTCTCCAACAGCTGGCAGGATGGTGGCATGGAGCGATCAGGGAGTGGCAGATGTACCTGCAAACACACGGTGTGCCTGCATCAGGCATCCTCCTGCTCCCGCCACTGGTGAAGTTGGACCTGGGCCGACAGACTGTGGTGAAGGATGGGTGCAAAGTTTCCAGCCGGGGGGTACCTCACGATGAGCCCCGTGCAGGGCTTTCTGGCACTGCCCACGTAGTAGGGACAGAATCATTTGACGCGGGGGAGCTCTCCCTTAGCCTCCCCCACAGGTGCCTGAACAGGGGATCCCTCTTCCCCACTTCCGCACTGGAGCCCAAGCGCTGTCTCGTCTGAACAGCTGCCCTGAGGGCCAGGAGGATGGAGGGAGTGAAGGGAAAATGCCAATTAGCTGGATTCCTCTGATCCTATCACTTTTCCCAGCAACCTTCTTCCCTGCCCACACTGTATTTTTTAATCTCTGACAGCTGGCTGCTATGTACAGACTTCCCCAGTGCAATGATGTAGCAGGACTGGGAATCGGGGCACAGAGATGGGGATCAGCTCTGTGCAAAAACAGCACAGCATTCCCCAGGATGTTCATCCAGCCCTCTCCAGAACAAACACAATCACTCAGAGCCTGCCGTGCTCCTAATCCACCTTTGGAGACACAGGCACAGTCTCCCCAAGTGGCTTGGGAGCTTCTGTGAACTCTCCAGCCACTCAAGCCCATCTTCGAGCTTATTGCAAAGCGTGGAAGAGCCGGAGTAAGTCTGCCTCCCGGTGCAGGTGTGCTGTGCTGGTGACAGGTGTAGGAGGAGGCTAGTCCCACCACTGTGAGGCTGCAGCATAGAAACGGACTGAAAGGTGACGTCCCTGTCATGCAGGGAGCGTTCCCAAGTGCATTGCGCTCACCTTTCACTCTGTGCTTGATTGCTGTTGGCTCATTGCCGGCTTGCACTGCCCACAATTTCTACGCATGTGCCGATGCCAGTGGGATTGAAGCACTTACCTAAATCTGAGCATGTACGTATGTGCGTGGTTGGATTAGAAACGTTATGTGTGCATGTTCTCCATTTATGCCAGGGTCCTGCCACGTACTGCTCAGATAAAGTCATATCCTGTCCAAACAGCTCAAACCAAACCGGAAACCGTTTTGGTTGAAAAAGTTGCAAGAAGTTTCCATTTTTAATAGACTGTTCCTCCCCTCTCTGCCTCTTGCTTTCTGCGCTCTGTGCTCCCCCTGCCCAGCTGGCACTAACAAAAATCATGGGTTGGTCACCTGATTGTGGGACTGGCAGGCAGGAAATCCTCCATTCCTATCCAAACGGCTCCCCTCACATGCTGCTAGCCTTGGGCAGATGATGTCACCTCTCTGTGCCTCAGTTTCCCCATCTGTCACGTGGGGCTGATGATCTTTAGCTGTCTTACTGGGAGACATAATGCTCCGTGGCCCTCAGAAAATGCAAAGATAAGGTGGAGACGGGCTGGTACCTGAACTTCCCCAGTACTTGAGACGGTTAATCGCGCGTTCCAGCTCAGGTCAGATGGGAAGCGCTAGGTCACACACAGGCCACAGCAGCTTGGATTTCAGTTGGGCTCATCCTGGATAAGCATCCATGCTTCAGCATTACTTGAGGTTTGCTTAGTTTCTTTCTCCGTACACCTGGGCCAAGAAAATGTGCTTTTCTCTTTCATTCTTTAGGGAAGAGCATGGCTAACCCTGTCTGCAGGGCATGTCTGCAGCACATGCGTGACACGTTTAGCCCTTGCACATACCTGTATAAAGTGTATCAGTCTGCTCAGCTTCACAGGCTCTGCTCCAGCTGTACCAGGGCTCTCAAGGAAGCACATGAGATAGAGGTTTAAAAATGAGAGGCCGGTGTTTGCTGTAAGATCTAGCCAGTCTGAGCTAGCCTTCGACGATGGTTTTTGGCACAGAAGTTCCCTGGGGAGAACAAGGATTTATACAGGGGCTGCAGTTCCCACTGATGGTCACAGGTTAGTGACTCAGTTGGCTGTTTAGATAGATTAAATGTTTCACGGAGGCCCCATGCAGCAAGGTATTGGAGCCCACCCCAAATGCCAGGTAGGCATACCATCAGCAGGGTGACTCTTCATGTGCCCCAGGTCAGGCACGTGCCAAGTACCCAGCCTGGGCTGAGGGGCAGGGAGGAAGAAGCCAATCTTCCTACCCACTTTGCAGTGACCGAGCCAGCTCTTTCAGCACCTGGGGACGATGTTCCTTGTGACTCACAAATGGCCAATTCCAGAGGTTCGTCGTGTCTCTCCCCACAGCACACCACATCCATGTTCAGGCGGGTGCCTTCCTCCCTTCCTCAGCTCCATGCCGTGGGGGCCCATCCCGCTGCGGCATAATGCAGAACCTTTTGCGGCCGCCTCTGAGTCAGAGCTGCTGCAATGCTGCTGTGCTTTGTCAGCGGGGCTGGCAGCAATGCAGAGAGACCCCATCGCCTCTGTGCGCCCTGGCGCTCGCCCGTGCCACTGCTCATGCACACAGACAAAGCCAGCGTGGTGCACGTTCCCCACCCCCCAGCTCTGATCACCAACAGGTCCCGTCACCTCCAGTTGCTGCCTCTGAAAATCAGATCCCCCTGCCCACAACACATATCTGCATCTTTTGGTCCACTCAAAAGAGAGGCCCAGCATTGAACATACCAGTGCAGCAGCAGGAGCAAGGGAGGTGAGATCACTGCCTGGAAGGCAGGCATCATGTGGCTGCAGATTGGGACAAAAGGTTAAAGATGAGGCCCAGCAGCGCTGCTTTCTTCAAGGTCATTTGGTAAAGGAAAAATATTCTCCTTAGTCCTGTAACCTGCACGCTGTTTATTCTTCTGTATACCCCGCAGACCCTTCCTGAAGGAGACCTCGGTGTCAGAACATGTTATTTATTAGCTTGGTACGTGGGTATCAGGGTGAGCTTAAGATAACCCCTTTTGTTCCCGGGCAGTGCGGTGGGTATTTTGTCCCTGTTCAGTACAGCAATAGCCAGTGTAAATATTTAGCACGCCCCTGAGCAGGGCTTGATTTATAAGCCCCTGATGCTTGTTCGCTTGCAGGGCTTGGCTGGCTGAGTCCTGTTTGCGCGATCCCGAGGTCCCTGCACACATGCTGCCTGTAAAAGCCTTTCCAGCTGCTCATGAGCTCTGAGTGGAGCCATTAGGCAAGATCCTCAGCCACGCAGATCGTCAGGGCCTCCCCGACGTTCCTGGAGCTGCAGTGAGATTTGTGGAGATGTTTAAAGAGTCTGCGCAGGCGGAGGAGCACTTAGTGGCATTTGCAAACGCTCCTAAACAAATCAGTCGTCCAATTTGCAGTGGAAGTCAGTGGAGTTTAGCCCCTGCCTTGCAAATCCAGTTATGTACGTGCATGCTTGCGTGTTCAGGCGCCCAAATGCCTTTGGAAATCTGGCCCCTGCACCAGCTGGCCCCAGCTGAGGATCTGTCTCCTCTGACAGCTGAACCCCGTTCAGTTCCTGTGAGTGCTGCATTCATATTTCCAAGGCTGAACCTTTGGTTCACTGTCATTTTCCAAGCATGACACTTACAGGGAGCCACTCACCTGCTTTCAAAGACAGGTTGCAATCCCTATATTTAAGAACTAAGATAAGAGGTTTTGCCAGGAAGCTTTGCAGCACATTGTCTGCTGCAATGAGAGGCAGCTTGGTCCTGCAACCTGGTTGTGCCAGTGCCTGGCCCCGTTCAAGTCTGTGATTCACTAGATTAGTTACTCCGGGTCTTGGGACTTCCAGGTCCACTGTGGGAATGGATTAAGCCAGGTTGCTGCTCTTCTCTCTTAGCAAGGTATCGATCAGGAGCAGCTCCACCGACAGCAGTAAAATTACTAATTCCAGTATTGGGCATGCAGCACACGAGAGCACAAGAGGGTTTTGTGACAATGCCTGGCTTCTGTTTTATTCTGTCCTAGTCTAGAGTCAATGCAGAAGTGGCTTAGGACGGTTCTTAGCATGCAAACCTAGTCCCTGTAGGACTGTCACTCCTCAATGGCAGCAGGATTCCCCTTCCCCTCCTTTACTGCCATTAGGACCTTAAGGAGGTTTCCACCCCTCCTACATAACCAAACAATAAAAGTCATAAGAATTTTTCTAACTCAATAAACGTGAACGGGTGAAGTTAAACATTCCTAAAGGCAGCAGCACGGAGCCCCAGGAGTTGAAATGGACTCTAACCAGAGCGTAGACCTGATGGCTTCGATGCTTCCCAGTGAAGCTTGTGCATGGAGTAAATAGGGAAAAGCCAGGCGGGCTGAAAATGCTTTAACTTCCTATGAACTGTCTGAAACTGCTGGATGGTGTTAGAAATGATTTGTTTTTTGGACAGCTAATCAAGCAGTTGACATTTTTTCAAAATAAGGATTTTCAGCAGAGCTGTTGGGGGGGACAAGTTGCCTTTTTTCCCAGAAATTGTTGTCATTTTTGACCAGGTGTGGTGAAGAGTGACGTGGTGGTAGAACTGCTTTAAAAGCCTGCTTTCACCTATCACACCAGCTGATAGTTGCCAGTAAAGTGGATAGCTGTAAAGTCAATATTAATGTCAAGGTTACAGGGCAACAATAAAACATTATAGACTTAGTCATTGCCTTTCACACCCCACATAAACAGACCTGTCTGGGCCTGACACACCTCCAGATCTATATCAAGATTTTAAACAGCACAGCTACAGCATGTCAGGTTTTACACGCTTGCTTGCTCCCTATCGTGGCTCAAGGTAGTAAACCAGCCACAGCATATTCCTAGTTTTGCAAACTGCACGTTTTTCTCATGATTTTTGTCCACTCACAATGGAGATTGGCTTAGAACAGGAGCAGGGGGTCAGTTAAGGTGCAGGGTAAAAGCAGACAAGCAAGAAGGTAACGGAGAGGTGGAAACGGCCTATCCCTACAGAACTGAGGTATGCTATCACCCCCGCAGCTGTATAAATCCCTGTGTGTGGACATGAAACCAGACCCCTTGGCTCTTGCTCTGTGGGTTGTAAGTCAGGGTGATGCAAGGCAAATCATAGTGCTTAGGGTCAAAAGGGCCCTCCACAGATCATCAAGTCCGACCCCCTGCCCCAGGCAGGAACGGGTGCGGGGGTCATATCACCCCAACCAAATATCTACCCAAATAAGACAGCTTTGCCCCTGCCCTTGATGCCTGAACCTGCAGCCCTCCGTGGTGGGGCCAGCTTTACCCGCAGGAGTTGTCCCAGCAATCAGGACCCACGAAACAAATACAGCAGGATAATTCCTGGCAGCAAAGCCAACCTACTCCTGATGGCTTCTCTCACGGCTGTGAGACAGAGTACAGGGCCTGGCGCGGCACGCACCGGAGACTCTGGG